CTTATTCTCTTACTCTCTTTCACTTTGAAGGGCCTCACCTGCTCCTACCTGGAACGGTTGTTCTCTAGGCCTGCTGCACAGCTGCTGTCTTGTGAGATCCCTACACCATCATATAGTGAACTCCCTTTGACTTTCTTGATTCTTTGGGATCTCCTATTTCCTGGATTCTAAGATTTTCTACTGTCCTCTTTCTTTTTTTTAAGCACTTCCTTCAATAGATTCCTGAGAAAAAGTACATGGAAAATAGACTTTTAGAGACGCTTTATGTCTGAAATGATTTTATTATAATTATTGTAAAACATTCTGCCTCAGTTTTTTTTTAAGCTTTTTCCAATACAGTGCAGACGCTCACTAGAGAGAGAGAGACAGAGAGACAGTGAAAGGGAAAGTGAGAAATCACCCTCAAGGAGATGGCAAATTGACAATCCTCATTCTTCCATTCTCCTCTCAAAATTTTAGGCACATGCATACACGTGCCACATCCAGCATAATTTTCAATACACTGAGTCCAGGACTCAAACTGTGGTTAGGTGCCTCAGAGTTTTCAAGGTATCCTCCACTGTTTTCTGATTACCACCTGAGAAGTTCAGTACCATCTGGTTGCCCATCCTTTAAAGGGAACAGATTTTTCCCACTTTCTGGAAACTTTTAGAATCATCTCTTTATTCCTAGTTATCCAAAACTTTACAAAATCATATTCTGAAGTGTCTTTTTCATCCATTATACCAAAAGCATATAGGCTTTCTTAATCTTGAATTTCAGGTCCTTTCATTGTCACAATTCTCCTTTATTTAAGACTCTCTTTTTTTTTTTACAATTTTAAGAATTTCGCTTTCCTTAATCTTTTGCTATGAATGCTATTATTTTTAACTAATTTCTTTTCTTACATTTTAACTTATTTTCCACATCTTTGTCTCTTTGCTTAAGGGATCTTTTTTTATTCTGTCTCTATTTCTATTGAATTTTTTCTATGCTGTTTTTATTTTCTAAGAGACTTCTTATTCTCTGAATATTATTTCTGAATGCCTCTTATTTATGTTTTATGAATGTAAAAAAAAGTAAGTTTTTAAAATTTGTATTCTGGTCTTTATATTGCCTTTGTTTCCTCTGAGGGTTTTTTTTTTTTTTTTGGGGGGGGGGGGATTACATTCCAGTTATTCCTCAAATGAACTGGTGACTCTTCATTTTCCCTTCTTCCTAAAACACCATCTATGAAATGTCCAAAACAGCCAA